TACCCAATATATACATGTATTTATGGTCGTGCTTGAGAGGTTTAGCATATATTCATTATTAAATTCAATATTGAAAGCACAGGCTGGTGTTTTAAATGAAATATAAGTTTTTACACGTGTAATATGTCTGGCTTTCTACAGACTTGCTTGAAGAATTGTCCAGAAGAGAAAAAGAGGCAAATATTAAGCCTGATCCAGATATTGATGTCTACATGAAGGTAATCAAGATGTCATTGCTTGTAAGGGATGTATTTTTCCCATTTGACCATGCATCCCTTAACCTTTCTTTTATATTTTGTGAACCGAAAGCCTTTCAAATCAGAGAGAAAAATATTTGTATTTTGGAGATTCTGTTCTTCTTCAACATTTTGTTATTGATTTCAAACTTTATCATGAAGAAATCAAGGAAGAGTTCTGTGATATCTATGAGTATAATGGTAGACAATGATAATTTCACTTACACCCGCAGTTAGTTATGGGTGCATCACTGATTTGTTTTCCATACATACAAATAAGTGATAATAAAATGGTGCTCCTTTTGACTCACAATGCTCAGGCTCTAGCAACTGAAGGTCAGAAGGAAAATTTGATAACAGATTATGTTCTAAGGGTAAAATAATCCATTATCTCTAAACCATCTCTGATCACGAATTCATTATAGTATTTGTTCTATAGTCTCTAGTTTATTTGCTTTAGATATGCAGATTTTAGGACTGGAGACCTGTGCTGATACTATTGTAGGAAATGCAATGTTAAGAGGGATCTCTGGAGGACAAAAGAAACGCCTTACAATAGGTAAAAGTAAACTAATGTCAATCTTGAAGTGTATCCCGTTAAATCGACTTTATAGTAATAAACCTTTAAATACAGGAGAGATGCTGGTTGGACCAGCTAAAGCTCTATTCATGGATGAAATATCTACTGGTTTGGATAGCTCAACAACCTTCCAAATTGTGAATTCACTCAAGCAATTTGTTCACATTCTCAAAGGAACCATAGTCATCTCACTTCTGCAGCCAGCACCGGAGACTTACAACCTTTTTGATGACGTTATTCTACTCTCTGATAGTCTTATAGTATACCAGGGTCCCCGCGAATATGTGCTTGAATTTTTCGAATCAATGGGTTTTCAGTGTCCTGAGAGGAAAGGTGTGGCAGACTTTTTGCAAGAAGTAAGTGTCCTTGTGTTTGTCTCAACGATTTAATCTGTCTGAACAGGTAAAATTGAATTTTATAAGTTTAATTTTCACTATTAATAATTATGTTGTAGGTAACATCAAGGAAAGATCAGGAGCAGTACTGGGGACACAAAGATAAACCTTATAGATTTGTCACAGCCAAAGAGTTCTCAGAGGCACACAAGTCATTTCATGTTGGGAAAAGCCTTCGTGAAGAACTTGCTACTGAATTTGACAAGTCCAAGAGCCACCCAGCTGCTTTGACAAACAAAAAGTATGGAGTGGGAAAATGGGAACTTCTAGAAGCTTGTTTATCAAGAGAATACATACTTATTAAGCGTAATGCATTAACTTACACCTTCAAGCTTGGCCAAGTAGGTTTGAAATTTGGAATGTTTCATTGTCATGTTATTATTTGGAACGCTATTATTATCTTACTGATAGCTCTCCTTCCTTTTAGCTTGCTGCAGAGGGATTTATTACGATGACAGTTTTTCTCCAGACTGAGAAGCACAGAGATTCTGTGATGGATGGCGGCATATATATGGGTGCATTATTTTTTAGCCTTGCTGTGATTATGTTCAATGGAATGGTTGAAATTTCCATGGTTGTTTCACGATTTCCTGTTTTCTACAAGGAAAGGGATAATCTGCTTTTTCCTTCATGGGCATATGCCCTTCCTGCATGGATCCTAAAAATCCCCATGACTTTTGTTGAAGTTGCTGTTTGGGTATTCCTCACCTACTATGTCATTGGTTATGATCCATACATAGAAAGGTAAAAACTTTATCTGTACATATAATAAGCAAACATGTTAACTGATCTTTCGTCCTCTGTCTCATTGTCTATTAAGCAGATTTTTCAGGCAATACCTTGTTATTGTACTAGTAAAGCAGATGGCTTTGGCATTATACCGATTTGTTGCAGCACTTGGGAGGGAGTTAACGGTATCTCTAACACTTGCGTCGTTTACAAATTCCATCCTTTTTGCTACGAGTGGTTTTATCCTATCAAAAGGTAGTATGAAAACAAAACATTCCAGTCCTTTTCTTATTATGTTATCGACTAACAAATTAACAATGCTCTTCTGATCCCCTTATACCCCTAGACAAAATACAAAAATGGTGGCTATGGAGTTTTTGGATATCACCCATGATGTATGGACAAAATGCCTTAGTAAATAATGAATTTCTTGGAAGGAGATGGAGACATGTAAGTTTTTTAACGAATCTATATTTTTATTTTACTTTTGATTGCATCTTTATCATATAAATAATCTTGTATTTGGATATGTCTTCTTATTGTAGATTTTATCTAACTCGACGGAGCCTCTAGGTGTTGAAGTTTTGAAATCCCGGGGATTTTTCACTGAGTCATACTGGTACTGGATAGGTGTTGGGGCTTTGATTGGATATACATTACTGTTCAACTTTGGCTACATCCTTGCTCTCATGTACTTGAGTTGTGAGTGTCTTCAAATTAAGCGTATAGTAAACCATCTAAGGTAGACCAATGTATTAATATCACAATATTCATTTTGCAGCACCCGAAAAGCACCAGGCTGTTATCTCAGATGAACCTCAACGCAATGAGAAGAATGGAGGTAGCGACAAAGGAACTAAGGTGCAGAGGCACATAGAGTATAGTTTTTCTCAGCACTCAAATAGAGGTACTTCATTACTTAACAACTGAGCATAGAATGGTAATAGTTGATTTTTATTTCACGCGTTACACCTTATGTGGGATAACACTGTTACTACTTCCCAGTGAGCAAATTTTCTCATACTTTACCCGCTAGAGGAATGGTTCTTCCTTTTCAGCCGCATTCGATCACCTTTGATGAAGTAACATATGCTGTGGACATGCCAAAGGTGATGTATAAACAAAAGAAATAAATAAATTGAAAACGCTTGCATTTTCAACTTTCAAAGAATTATTTTGAAATGAAAAATTATAGAATACTTGCAGGAAATGAAGAACCAAGGTGTTGTTGGGGATAAATTGGTTATTTTGAAGGGTGTCAGTGGAGCTTTCAGGCCAGGTGTTCTCACTGCTCTAATGGGTGTCACTGGAGCAGGCAAAACAACACTGATGGATGTACTTGCTGGTAGAAAAACTGGAGGTTGTGTTGGAGGGAAAATCACAATCTCTGGGTATCGGAAGAATCAAGAAACATTTGCAAGGATTTCTGGATACTGTGAGCAAAATGACATCCACTCTCCTCATGTTACTGTGTATGAATCCCTGCTCTATTCAGCTTGGCTTCGATTGTCCCCCGATATCAATGCTGAAGCCAGAAGGGTTGGTATCTAAATCCTGTGCCTTTTCCTGGTTTTACCATTTTTTTGGTAATTGAGATTTTTCCAAGATATTATGATATAAAATTTTCATGTCTCAGCAGCTTTTGTTCAAAGATTGTTTACACTGAAAAAAAGCAAGTTGTTGCTACCAGCTAATGATGTCTTTCTTTAAGCTTAGTCATTTTTACTTTTCCTTTGCACAATGAGGAGCTTCATAGTTTTATTCGCTTTTGTGTGAGGTTACTGATTTCTTATTTACAACCTTTATATTTTTACATTGGTCTTGTAGCGTTTCGCTTCGTCTACTGAATCTGCATTTTGTCTATTAAGTCTAATGCATTCTCTTTTTAGTCTTATAGCCTAGTCTGATGGTTTTAGCTTAGTTTAACAACTATATTTTGCTCAATCTTATAGTGTTTGGTTTAATATAGACTTTTAACCAGTTTGAATACTTACAATACATTTGAGTTTGCAAGGAAATTTTCTCAGCAGCTGCATAAATTCTGTTGGAAAATAAAGAAGGGTAAGACACTGGGGAGATCTCCATACAATGAGGAACCATCATTATAACGCATAATGAACTTTATTTACGAAAATTGTATCATATATGTTTTTTAACATGCCATATTTATTCAATTAGGATTCTCACTCACACTTGTGCATCAACATAGCCAAAACTAAAGTTATTTACGATTAAATATTAGGATTATTATGTTAAAAGTTAACAAAGGAAACAAATTTGAGAGCTAAACCTTACAGGATTAAGAAAAACACTAGCATGTTTAGTAATGTTACAAAGTTGGAAACTGACTATGGTTGCAGATGTTCATTGAGGAAGTCATGGAGCTTGTGGAATTGAAGCCACTAAGGCGTGCATTAGTTGGATTGCCTGGTGTTAATGGTCTCTCAACAGAGCAACGCAAAAGGTTGACAATTGCAGTCGAACTTGTGGCAAATCCTTCCATAATATTCATGGATGAGCCAACTTCTGGGCTGGATGCAAGAGCCGCTGCTATTGTCATGAGAACAGTTAGGAACACTGTAGACACTGGAAGAACAGTTGTTTGTACCATCCATCAGCCTAGCATAGACATATTTGAATCTTTTGACGAGGTGAAAAAAAAAACAGAGTTGGTGTAGAAATTCAGTTTTCTCTCTTCCACTATTGACTTTCTAACCTTTTTGTCACAACAAAATGCAGCTTTTGCTAATGAAGCAAGGAGGGAAAGAGATATATGTGGGGCCACTTGGACCTCATTCTTCCAATTTAATTGGTTATTTTGAGGTGAAAAATAGGGAATAATAAATTTATATTTTGCTTATCTTCATGTAAAATTTCGCTCATATCACACTTTAATTCTGAAGGAAATCGAAGGTGTCAATAAGATCAAAGATGGCTATAATCCAGCAACATGGATGTTTGAAGTCACGACTTCAGCAAAAGAAATGGAATTAGGGATTGATTTTGCCGATGTGTACAAAAATTCAGTGTTATACAGGTATTTTCAGTGTTATGCTAGACAGCACTTGAGTGCTAAAAGTGCAATAATAAGTTTTTCGTTATTATTATGATTATTTGCAGTAACGAAATGGAATGTTTGCTGATATATGGTGTGTGGAATTTCTCAGGAGAAACAAAGAACTTGTTAAAGAATCGAGTACTCCAGCTCCTGGTTCCAAAGATCTTTATTTTCCATCACAGTACCCAACTTCCTTCTTCACCCAATGCATGGCCTGCTTATGGAAACAACATTGGTCTTACTGGCGCAATTGTTCATACACTGCCCAATCATTTATTTACACAACTGCTGTTTCTGTTTTGTACGGAAGCATGTTTTGGAACACTGGCTCCAAAATGTATGATCAAACCAGAAACTTTGAAATGCTGTCTTCAATATCATTTGTTCTCTTGTTTGTTACTGTTTGATCTAACAGGAAACTTTTGCCTAATTATTGCAGTGAAAAGAAACAAGATCTTTTCAATGCCATGGGCTCCATGTATGCTGTTGTTATCCTTGTTGGCGTTAAGAATTCTTTCTCTGTGCAGCCAGTGGTTGATGTGGAAAGAACAGTCTTTTATAGGGAAAGAGCAGCTGGAATGTATTCAGCTTTTCCATATGCTTTTGCCCAGGCAAGAAATTCCACTTTTTCAATACGTGTTTTTATTTGAGTGTTGAGTGTGTGTGTGTGTGTATATATATATATCCTCGTGCTCTTTCTAAAACTCAAGAACGAAGACATTATTAAAAAACAGATGCTCTTGATAACCTCCTAGATCTTGCTCTTTCTGTTGCAGGTTCTGATTGAGCTCCCTTACGTACTTGTTCAAGCTGTGGTTTATAGCACTATAATTTATGCAATGATTGGTTACGAGTGGACTGTGGCTAAATTTTTGTGGTACCTGTTCTTCATGTACATGAGTTTCCTTTGCTTCACCTACCATGGCATGATGTCAGCAGCCGCGACACCAAACCAACACATTTCCTCTGTAGTTTCCTCTGGATTCTATTCAGTATGGAATATCTTCTCAGGATTCATAGTCCCACGGCCAGTAAGTTTGTCTTCCTTTTTTGCCATGAAGTGCACTTAGATTCATGCTTTCTGAGCATAGATAATGGTTAGTTTATTTTATGTTATTTTTGGCATGGTGTGACAGAGGATCCCAATATGGTGGAGGTGGTGCAGTTGGGTAAATCCAGTTGCTTGGTGTTTGTATGGACTGGTGGCGTCACAATACGGAGATATAAAGCAAAGCATAGAATCTGGTGACGGAAGAACAACAGTGGATGGCTTTGTAAGAAGTTACTTTGGATTCAAGCATGATTTTCTTAGAGTGGTTGCAGTTCTCACGGTTGCGCTCACACTACTCTTTGCATTGCTCTTTGCCATATCAATGACCATGTTTAATTTCCAGCGACGTTAAGAACGCGTTCATGTATTTTGTATGTTTCCCCGTTTGTAAGAAAATATCTACTTGCAAATTTTAGAGGGAAACTCCTTTTTATAACAAAATAATAAAATTTCTATAACAAAATTCTGAATGGAAAGAGAATTTAAAAATTTGAAATCCTCCATATTCTTTTTTCTCTTCTCTTTATATTCTTTTCATGATCAACGTATTATTAGCCAGAGTGAAATCAATATGTCATCAACAAATTTAAGCTTAGACAAGATAATATGTCATCAACAAATCTAAGCTTAGACAAGATTAATTATTGTTAACTTTAACTTTTTTTAAAAATATTGTTGGTTTAATCTTCCTAATTATTTTTTATTCGATCTCACTAAAAATATTATCGCTTTGGTCAAGATGTCATTTTTTCAACTAAAATAATGTGTCATTAAGTCTACCAAGACTAAAGCATTAACAGCTAGCTTGACCAAGAAATTGTCAATTTTATCTTGATTAGGTAACTATTAGTCATGCTTTCATTTAAGGAGTAGTCATCTTGCCTTTGACAAAAAGGATCATAAACTCAATTTCAACTAGACCATCTTTGGCTTGATCCCGACCAAGGGTTTAATCAAGGTCAAGACATTGTCAATTTGATCAACATCTAAACATCATCAACTTGACAAAGATTAGAGTATGATGGACTCAATCTAAAACATAATAAACTTGGCTTGACCTCAACTAGGGTATGTTTAGTTCCGTGATTATTATTGTGACATATTCCACTTAATAAGGCATCATTAACTCATTCTCAGTTAGCATTATTGGCTCAAGATAAAAATAGTTTTTAATTAAATAATTCAAAATTATCTTAGACACAAATTAAGAATAAAATTTGAAAAGTTATTTTATAAATTATCTTATAAGTATAAACTAAATTATCTTATACATGTTCTTAGAACATTAAAAGAAACTACAATATAGTAGCTAAAATATTCGGTCACAAAATGATACCAAATTAATATTACGATTTCATGATAGATAAACTCAAGTCACGACAATTAAATGAATTTTGATCGCTAAGCAATCACCTGTGTGTTTCGTCGCTAAACTTTTGGTATGCAAAATAATTATTGAACTATTTAGTGACGGAATGTGTTATTAAAATCAGTCTTAAATTCGATAGCAAATGCTATAATCAATACTAATGGATTTTCGGTCACTAAATATTTCATATATTTATAAAAAATTATATTATCCCTAATGTTTGTTTCGGTTTTGAACAACAATATTAATTGTTTAGAACATTTTGACTTTAAAATTGTAATAAATAATGATAAATTATATGATAAAATGTAAAATAAAGATCTAAAGTGCTGCAATGCAAACGAAGAGACTCAAATAGTTCTAATAAAATTTTAAATATCCAAATATAATGAATGATCTTTGATTTATGATTGCCATTATTTATACTAATAATAGGGCCCGAAATAAAATATTTGGGGCTGAAAGTTTTGTAAGATAAGTCAAATTTAGTGGTGAAATAGTGAAACTTTTATTATAGGAACTCATATACTTCTTCTCTAGATTCATGAATCAAATGTTTTTTAGCATCAAACCTTGACATATCCACCTTTCATTGATGCAAATGTCCTACAACAACACATGGAACATATTCTGATTGTAAAGCATTTCGTCAAGCACGTAAAAGAATGAATTGGTCAAGCAATTGATTATAGAAGATGAGGAAATAAAAGGGGTGTGTGGAGTCTTTATTTTATTTTTGTAGCAGTAAGAATAATTATAACTATGCTGTCTATCTCGAAACTTAATTATCGAAAAGATACTAATACATTACACTCATTCTTCTCTCTTTTTTTCCACTCATTCTTTTACTTTTATTTTTATTTCATTCACTTCTATTTTTCTTTTTTCTCTTTTATCATTTACTCTCTCTTTTTTTTCTCTTTTCTTTTTATTCTTCTCTCTTTCCCACATATTTTTCTAATTAAAAATATTATATTAAAATTTATTGCAAACATGTCAAACTAATTGTTTTAAATTAATATTGAAACTAAAAAATATCAAATAATTATTTAAAATTATGATGATGATAATAAATAATTTTATTTATTATGATTAAAATAAATTATTTTAAATTATTTTATCATAATAAATTAATTGTTCATTTAATTAAAAAATATCATTTTTTTAAAATTTAGTTATAATTAGGTTGGATTATAATGATTTAGATTAATAATTTCAAAAATATTTATTAAAAAATATGTTAAAATAAATATTTAATTAATTTCAATATTGATTTTAAAAAAATATTTTAACATGTTTTTATCAAATTTTAATATAATTTTAGTATAGTGTTTGTAATTAGAAGAATAACATGGAAGAAAAAAAAATTAACAAAAGAGAAAAAAAAACTTATCTATGTCATATATAATTTTCTTTTTCATAATAAAATTCTGTATATGAGGAACAATTAGATAAATAAATTGATAAATATTTTATTTAAGTAATTTTTTAAAATATATTTTAATTATATATTTGGAGAAAATTGAGAAATTTATTCTTTATAATAAAATTCTTTATATGAGGAATAATTATATAAATAAATTGATAAATATTTTATTTTAGTATTTTTTTTAAAATATATTATTTCTTAGATTAATTTTATATTTATTTTGGAGAAAATTGAGAGAGAAGTGATTTTAGAAAATAACACTTTCTTTTACACTTTCCAAAATGTTTGTTTATAATGTAACGTAGAATATGCGAGACCCAATAAAAAAAATCTTTTAATTTTTTGTATTAAATAAGAAAATACTTTCTTTGTATTAATTTCTTTTTATCGTAAATTTTTATTCTATATTTTTATTTTAAACGAATAAACCCAGAATTGTATAACTTTTTTCAAAGACTTAAATCAAAATTTTATAATGTATTAAATATCTATTGAAAGAAAAAAAACATTAAATATTGAAAATAAAAACAATACCATATGCTTTAACTCATGCTTTGACATTCTTTATCATATAGGTGTAAATAATGTTTTAAAAGTGAATATATATATGAATTGTGAAAAAAAAAAAGAATGATAATATAATGTTTTTAAAAATACATGATATATTATGTAAAATTAAAAAAAAATCTCTTTGATAAAGTATTAAGGGATGACAGTGTAATGTATAGTTACATAAAATTAAAATTAAAATACAAAACGGGGTGTTTTAATAATTAAGGAGGGTTTAGTTAGATTAGGAATTGATTCTCCTGTTAAGAACGCAACATGTACAGGTCATAACAAGTGAAATATCTTTTTCATAAGACAACGATGCAAGTGATTAATTACTTCTTCTTTTTTTTTGAGAGGAATTTCGGATTTTTTTTAAACAAGATAAATTATTAAGCATTAGAATTTCAGTCATAATAAAAATCCGTTGTAATATCTTTGAATATCCTCTAGAGTGATCTATTTTATTCCTTATAGATCCCTTCGTATTATGTGACTAACATTATTCAATTTCTCTAATTTAGTTTAACTTTATTTTTCTTGAAATTTAATCCTAATTACAAATCTTAATCCCTCAAGTGAGGGAAATTAGAACCACGTATGATTATATAATTAGAACAATCTAAACCCTAATTTCCTAATCACACCAAAATTTATGGTGTCTTCCTCAATGTATAAACCTAGTTTAGTTTGATTCATTTGGTTTGTTTTTACTAAAAATATGTTTTATTAATAATAAATCTTAAGGGGCAAGTGTCCTTACTACTCACACCAAGTTGTTGGTACCATAAAAATAAAGTTTGGTTCTGCAGTCCCGATAAAAATAAAGGGCCTTTCTTGCAAAGAAAAAAAATACTAGCTGTTACAAATTAAAAAAAATAAAAATACTATTAATTAATAAGAAAGGTCAACCCAATTTGGATACATATCTAGCTAAAATATAGGGTCTCCACAGCCCACATGTCTCACAGGTAATACTTGTTTTGTTCAATATTTGGCTGGTGGGAAGGAAGTAATAAAATAGTGTGGCATCTTCACCGTGTGAAGGTGGTTACACATGGTCGTGATCACGCGACCGTTTTCGACGCATCTCTCTTTTGTAATCAACACTGCAAAACGTGTGTGCAGCTATGCCTTTGCCACTCCTAAACACGCTCACCATATTTGACTCTCCTCAAAATGCATCTTCTTAATTCCTTCCTTAATGTTAGTTTATATATTTATCCCAGCATACTATGTTGTGTCCCATTCAGACATAGTGGAACTGGGCTGTTTCCAAAACATAAAAACATCGGAGAAACAACTGAGAAAGATTCTATTTCTGGGAAACAGTTAATAGGTTTTAGCACTGGTTGCATGGCATGGAGGGTGGGGGTGGTTTCAGGATTGGTAGTTCATCCATTTTGAGGGACAGTGACGCAGATATCTTCTCAAACTCATTCCACCAAGAGGATGATGAAGAGGCTCTCAGATGGGCTGCCATTCAGAAACTTCCCACCATTTCTCGGTTGAGGAAAGCTTTGCTCACTTCATCCGAAGGGGAAGTGAATGAGATTGATGTTCACAAACTTGGGTTGCCAGAAAGGAGAGCTTTACTTGAAAGATTGGTGAGAACTGCTGAAGAGGACAATGAGAAGTTTTTGCTCAAGCTAAGGGAACGAATAGATAGGTGAGACTCCCTCTCTCTTTTCTTCTTCATTCTAATGAAGGTGTATTTGATTGAAATGAACTCATGGATGGCTTCTTCTCGTACTATTTTTCTTCCTTGGATTGGATGATATCAGAGTTGGAATTGAACTTCCTACTATAGAGGTTCGGTTTGAGAACTTGAGTGTCGAAGCAGAAGCTCGTGTAGGAACTAGCGCTTTGCCTACCTTCACCAACTTCATGGTTAATATTGTGGAGGTGAGTGGAACCAGCTTTCATTTATAGTAGAACATGCTTCATGACCTTACAGAAGGAGGTTCTAACTTGCTGATTTGGTTTCAATTGATAAAAGGGTCTGTTGAACTCTCTTCGTATACTACAAAGTAGAAGACAGCATATAAATATTCTCCAGGATGTTAGTGGAATAATAAAGCCTGGCAGGTAACAATGCAAGTGATGCTCTTCTATATATCTATTCACAGAGTAGACCCGTGTACCGTAATTAGCTAGCACCTTTGGAACCAATTTAATGTTTCCATCTATTCCTGTTCAGAATGACACTACTTTTGGGCCCTCCAAGTTCGGGAAAAACCACACTATTGTTGGCCCTGGCAGCAAAACTTGATCCAAATTTAAAGGTTAGGAAATCAAAGAAAAGAAATTTATTTTTGAAAAGATATTTTCATTTTTTCGCTCTAATTTTTAATCTTGGATCTCTAGCTAATATAGTGTTCTTGATCAGTTTTCTGGAAAGATGACTTATAATGGTCATGGGATGGATGAGTTTGTACCCCAAAGAACTGCAGCATATGTCAATCAAAATGATCTTCATATTGCAGAGTTGACCGTCAGAGAAACCTTGGCCTTCTCAGCAAGAGTCCAAGGAGTTGGAACTCGTTATGGTTAGTCTGCAGCATGAATGGTTTTGTTTATATTCATTTAAGTTGTGACTATGTGCAAAATATTTGGCTTTCTGCAGATTTGCTAGCAGAATTGTCCAGAAGAGAAAAAGACGCAAATATCAAGCCTGATCCAGATATTGATGTCTACATGAAGGTAACAAAGAGTCCATCACTTGTAAGGGACATGTTTTTCCATTTGACTTTCATACCAAAGCCTTTTTATAGCCGTTCAAACCAAAGAGAGAAACATATGACAGCATAGCAATTGTAATATTATAATACCTGTTCAATTTTGGATATTCCTCTTCTCTTCAACTTCTTGCTATTAATTGAAAATTTTCTCATCCAGAAGAAATTTGTTTTGAGAAAACGTAAGTGATACACTAGTTTTTCTAAAAGCAAAAAATGATATCAGAGAGATACACAGAGAGCATTTGTAGCGGCGCTATTATATAATTGCAAATAAAATCCTAGCACAAGAGTATGCTAAAAAAATTCTAAATTCACCAACTCTAGCAGTTGCCTTCTCAGGTACAGGTGCATCAGCAGTTTCTTTTTCCCATACAAATATTAAGTGGTTGTCCTTTTGACTCTTAATACTCAGGCTGTAGCAACTGAAGGCCAGAAGGCAAATTTGATAACGGATTACGTCCTAAGGGTATACAATCTATACTTTATAAACCATCTCCAATCATCGTGACTCATTATAATATTTTCTTTGAATGCCTCATGTTTATATTTGCAGATTTTGGGACTGGAGGTCTGTGCTGATATTATTGTAGGAAATGCAATGTTAAGGGGGATCTCTGGTGGACAAAAGAAACGCGTTACTACAGGTAATGTTGACAAACAAGTATCTAAACAAAACACTCTATATGTTATCGCTTGATATTTTTATAATGAATGGTACATGGTCAATTAATAGGCCTTTGAATATGACCTTTCAACTACATGCATTTAATACAACTACTACCTTTCAACTACATACATTTAATACAACCACTATCTCTCAACTACATACATTCAATACAACTAATACCTCTTAACTACTACCTTTATAACCACTATCTCTCAACTACATGCATTTAATGTTTACCTAACAAAATCCCCCTATAAACTTAAATGTTTTTCTTGTCCTTCATTCCAAGCATCTTCTTGTTGTTCTCGAATAGAGTGGTTGGCAGTGGCTTCGTGAACATATCTGCATCTTGTGCTCGGGTTCCGACGTGCTCTAACTCCACATTTCTTTCTTTCACTTGTTCTCGGATGAAGTGAAACCGAACATCAATATGCTTGCTTCTCTCGTGATTGACCGGGTTCTTTGCCAATTCAATGACCGACTTGTTATCAACTCGAATCATAATCTTTTTTCTTGCTTCAACTCCAGCTTGCTTAGAAGGTTTCTAAGCCAAACTGCATGACAGACACTTCAAGATGCTGCAACGTACTCAGCTTCACAAGTTGACAACGTTACAGTGGACTGTTTTTTTGAAAGCCAGGTGAATGTTATGTTTCCCATGAAGAATACATATCCAGACGTGTTTTTTCGGTCATCAACATCTTCACACCAGTCACTATCAGAGTACCCTACTAGTCGATAATCATCCTTCCTAGTATACATTAGGCCAAGTGACATTGTACCTCTCACATACCTTAAAATTCTCTTTAGTGTCTTTCAATGAGTATACCTTGGCTCCTCCATATATCGACTTGTTATTCTAACACTTAGCATTAAATTTGGTCTGGTATTTGTAAGATACCTAAGACTTTCAATAAGACTTCGGTATTTTCTCGCATCAACTCAGTCTCCATCTGCATACTTAGAAAGTTTTGTACCAGGTTCCATAGGGGTGGAAATCGGGTTGCAACTTGTCATCTTAAACTTCTTCAAGATCTCCTCAGCATACCTTTCCTGCGACACGAAGATGTCATTCTTTCCTTGAACAACTTCTAAACCAAGGAAATACTTCATAAGACCCAAGTCATTCATCTCAAACTCCTTCTTCATCACTTCTTTAAATTCTTCAATCAACTCGGTATTATTCCCCATGAAGATAAGGTCATCAACATATAGGGCAACAAACATCACATCTTCTTCTTTCTTCTTTATGTATAGAGCATGTTCATAAGGACACTGCTCATATTCATTCCTTTTGAAGTAAGTGTCAATTCTTTCATTCCATGCTCGTGGAGCTTGTTTCAAGCCATAAAGTATCTTCTTCAATCTCAACACTTTCTTCTCTTCGCCTCTTCGCATATATCTGAGTGGTTGTTCAACATATACTTCCTCCTCCAAGATTCCATTCAGAAATGCCGACTTCACGTCCATCTGCAAGATTCTCCATCTGTGTTGAGCTGCTAAGGAAATCAGCAGCCTAATTGTTTCCATTCTCGTCACTGGGGTGAATACTTCGTCATAGTTTATTCCTTCCTTCTGCTTGTACCCCTTCACTACGAGTCGAGCTTTATATCGCTCAACTTCTCCTTCAGCATTTGTCTTCTTCTTGTACATCCACTTTACGCCGATAGGCCGTGCTCCTTTGGGCAAATCAGTCAACTCCCATGTGTTGTTGCGTTCTATTGCCCCAATCTCCTCGTCCATTACCTTTTTTCACCTTTTCTCCTGCACGACCTCTTCAAAACTTAAGTCTTCTGAATCTACCAAGAGACATACAACATGTACTTCGTCAGTGGAGTTGTATATATCTTGTAAACTTCGCGCTCTGGGCTGTAGAGGTTCATCTTCTTCATCAGAAGTCTCATGATCTCTCACAATATTTGGTGTATCCACTTCCGAGTTTCTACTTCCTATGGACTCCTTCTCTGGATTGTTCCAACTCCACTCGCTTTCTTCATCAATTTGAACATCTCGGCTCATAATGACATTCTTAGTTATTGGGTTAAACAACATGTACGCCTTTATTTTTTCATCATACCCAATAAACACGTAATTTTTGCTTCTATCTTCGAGCTTGGTCCTCTGTTGAGCTGGAACATGACCATAAATTATGCTACCGAACACTTTAAGGTGAGACACACTCGGTTTTCTTCTACTCCAGACTTCTTGCAGTGTCTTCTCGTTTAGCTTAACATGTGGACATCTATTTTGTACATAGATGGCACATTGCACTGCTTCTGCCCAGAACTCCTTTGGCACTTTTTTCCTTCTCAACATTGTTCGAACCATGTCAAAAATGATTTGATTCTTCCTCTCGGCAACTCCATTTTGTTGGGGTGAGTATGGTGCTGTCAGAAATCTCCTTATCCCTTGCTCCTCGCAATACTTCATGAGTTCGGATGAAATAAACTCGTCTCCTCGATCAGACCTAACAGATTTGATAGGCATGCTAGTCTCTTTCTCAACCATTGCTTTAAATATCTTGAACACCTCAAACACCTTAGATTTCTCCTTCAAAAAATATACCCAGGTTTTTCTTGAAAAATCATCTATAAAAGAAATGAAATACTTTTTCCCACTGAAGGACTCAGGGGTAACCAGTCCACAAAGATTTGTGTGAATCAATCCGACTTGTTCCTTTGCACGGTACTCGGCCGTCTTCGGAAATAAGGTCTTTGGATGCTTTCCCTAGCAAACACTCTTCACAAAATTTCTTTTCAAATTCCATAGACGGGAGTCCTTGCACCATCTCTTTCTTTACCAACTCGGTCAACCCGCCAAAATGCAAGTGGCCAAACCGAAAGTGTCACATCATTGTTTCATCCTTCATGTCAAGTTTCAAGCACCTCTCTTGGACTATCTTCAAGTCCAGCTTGTACATTCTGTTCTTCTTCATTTCTACTCGGGTAATCAAACGATCTGACTTGTCCTTCAGGTATAGTACTCGATCTTTCATCAGAACCGAGTAGTCTTTCTCCATCAGCTGGCCCATGCTCAATATGTTGCTTTTGAGATTGGGTACATAGTACACGTCTCTAATTTCTCCAACTCGGCTATTCTTCTGCAGGTACTAGATTGTACCTCTGCCTTTTACTGCCACCTTTGATGCATCTCCAAATGACACGTGTTCGGCCTCAACTTTAGTGAGCTCCTTAAAAAGGTTTTCGTCACCGTACATGTGGTTACTTGCTCTTGTATCAAGATACCAAACCGAGTTGTCAGAACAGCTTGGACTTAGCTTGACATCTAAAATTTTCGACATCATCAATACTCCTTCTTCCTCAGCGTCCTCAGAGAGGAGATTTGTTTCCTTCTTGCTCTCAAATCGGCAGTCCTTCGCGAAATGTCCAACCTTCCCACAATTATAACATTTGATACTTGAATAGTAGCCTTTAGCAAAATGACCGTACTTCCCACATTTGAAGCACTCAACTTCGAAATTGCTTAACTGACCACCTCGGTCTCTACCACCACGACCTCTACCTTGTTCTCGGCCATGCCAGTTTTTTTGACTGACTTGCTCCTTATCTCTTTCATATCCTCCTCTGCCTCTACCACCTCGGCCTTGAGTGTTCTGAGCATAAGGAACCTTCTTCTCCTTTAAGGTTGCCTCTGCTTGGAGTGCTTGATCAAGGGACTCCTCTTTCTTCTTCCTTCTCCGCTGCTCATGCGCTTCAAGCGACCCGGCAAGCTCTTCCACCGAGAGCACCGACAAGTCTTTCGACTCTTCTATTGCACAAACGATATTCTCAAAGTCGTCAGTTAACGACCTTAAGATTTTCTCCACCACTCGGCAAGTGGGCAGCGTCTCTCCATTTCTTTCGAGTTGATTCACCATGGTCTCAACACGGGAGATGTACTCGGTAACCCCTTCGACCTCTTTCATCCTCATGCTTTTAAGCTCGCCTCTAAGAGTTTGAAGTTTGACTTGCTTCACTCGATTATCCCCTTTATATGCCTTCTCCAGAATATCCCACGCTTCTTTTTGAAGATTTAGCATTTGCTATCTTCTCAAAATCGAACTCATCAATAGCTCGATACAGCACGTACAAAACTGTTTTTTCCTTTACTCGTGTTGCTCTCAATGCAGCAAGCTGGACAATCTTCTGCTCTTCAATATTCTCTGGTTCTTGGTGCCCATTTTTGACCACATCCCATACTTCCTGGGAACCAAGGAGAACCTTCATTTGCAGCTCCAGTTATCATAGCTTACGCCTTTCGATAACTTTGGCAGGGGCATGCTGTTAGCTAAGTTGGTCATCTCGAACAAACTCTCTAACTCTCAAACACTCTCTCTAACGCACTCAGACACTCAGGCTCTCAAGCTCTGATGTTAATTTGTTGACAAACAAATATCTAAACAAAACACTCTATATGTTATCACTTGATGTTTTTGCAATGAGTGGTACATGACCAATTTATAGGTCTTTGGATATAGCCTCTCAACTACATGCATTTAATACAACTACTACATTTCAACTACATACATTCAATACAATCACTATCTCTCAACTACATACATTCAATACAACTACTACTTCACAACTACATGCATTTAATGTTTACCTAACAGGTAAAACAAAACTTCTTCCAATGAAGTGTATTAAGTTTACACCACTCAATAAAATGAATATATATGAGAAATCTAATAATTACAAACTTGTATATGCAGGAGAGATGCTGGTTGGACCAGCTAAAGCTCTATTCATGGATGAAATATCTACTGGTTTAGATAGCTCAACAACTTTCCAAATTGTGAATTCACTGAAGCACTTTGTTCACATTCTCAAAGGAACCACAGTCATCTCACTCCTGCAGCCAGCACCCGAGACTTACAATCTTTTTGATGACGTTATTCTACTATCTGATAGTCATATAGTGTACCAGGGTCCCCGTGAATATGTGATTGAATTTTTCGAATCAATGGGTTTTCAGTGTCCTGAGAGGAAAGGTGTGGCAGACTTTTTACAAGAAGTAAGTGTCCTTGTGTTTGTCTCAACGATTTAATCAGTCTGCACTGTAAAAAAGAGTTTTATAAATTTCATTTTGACCATTAAGTATTATGTTATAGGTAACATCAAGGAAAGATCAGGAGCAGTACTGGGCAGACAAAGATAAACCTTATAGATTTGTCACAGCCAAAGAGTTCTCTGAGGCACACAAGTCATTTCATGTTGGGAGAAGCCTTCGTGAAGAACTTGATACTGAATTTGACAAGTCCAAGAGTCACCCAGCTGCTTTGACAACCAAAAAGTTTGGAGTGGGGAAATGGGAACTGCTAAAAGCTTGCTTATCAAGAGAATATTTACTTACGAAGCGCAATTCATTTCTTTACATCTTCAAGCTGGGCCAAGTAGGTTTGGAAATTCGAATGGTTCATTTTACTGTCGTGTCATCTAATGCTATTATTGTCTTACTGATATCTTTCTCCTCCTTTTAGCTTGCTCTAATGGCATTTATTACCATGACCATCTTCCTCCGGACTGAGATGCACAGAGATTCAGTGACTGATGGTGGGATATATGTGGGTGCATTGTTCTATGGCGTTGTTGTGCTTATGTTTAATGGATTTGCTGAACTCTCCATGGTCGTTTCAAGGCTTACTGTTTTCTACAAGCAAAGGGATAATCTGTTTTATCCTTCGTGGGCATATGCTCTTCCTGCATGGATCCTAAAAATCCCAATGACTTTGGTGGAAGTTGCTCTTTGGCTATTTCTCACCTACTATGTTATTGGATTTGATCCGTATATTGGAAGGTAAATGAACTTTGTCTTTACACACATACTCAACAAACATTCTCATTGATCTTTCCTTGTCTTATTTTCTACTTGGATCCTGAAAATAAAAAGTAACATGCATAGATGTCTACATAATGCAGATTTTTTAGGCAATACCTTGTTCTTTTACTAGTAAACCAGATGGCTTCCGCATTATTCCGATTTCTTGCAGCAGCTGGGAGGGAAATGAAAGTAGCTTTAACACTTGGGTCATTTATACTAACCATCCTCTTTGCTATGAGTGGTTTTGTCCTATCAAAAGGTAACACGGATTCAAAATAGACCAATCCCACTTTCTCCCATCATGTTCTAGGCTAACAATGCACCTCTGTTCCCTATATGCCCTCAGACAATATAAAAAAATGGTGGTTATGGGGCTTCTGGATATCACCTATGATGTATGGACAGAATGCTATGGTAAATAATGAGTTCCTTGGGGACAGATGGAAACATGTAAGTTTATAAATAATCTACATGTTTACTTTTATGTCTTTCTTATCATATAAATAATCTCATATTTGAACATATATATTTTCTTACGACAGATTCTACCCAACTCTACGGAGCCTCTAGGAGTCGAAGTTTTGAAATCACGTGGGTTCTTCATTCAGTCATATTGGTTCTGGATAGGCGTTGCGGCTTTGATTGGATATACATTACTTTTCAACTTAGGCTACATCCTTGCTCTTGCATATTTGAGCCGTGAGGGTCTTCAACTTAAATGTACAATAAATCATATAAGATGTAATCTTTGTATTAATGTGGAAAAAAATTGATTTTGCAGAACCTGGGAAGCAACATGCTTTTATAGCAGAAGAACCTGAAAGCAATGAGCAGAATGGTGGCAGAAATAAAGGAACTAATTTGTTGAGGCACATAAAATATAGCTTTAATCCGCACTCCATTAAAGGTACTTCTTCTCATAATAACTGATAACGAAGTCAAGTATAGATTAGGTAATAGTTCTTTTTTTATTCACGTTATGTGAATGGATAACGCTGGAACTATTTCACAGTGAGAAATGGCGAAAGTATGAGTGGAAGTACATCTTCTCATACTTTACCTACAAGTCAAAGAGGAATGGTTCTTCCTTTTGAACCACATTCTATCACCTTTGATGAAGTAACATATGCTATTGACATGCCACAGGTAATGTAGAAACAAAATAAACAAATTGAAAACCCTTGCATATACTGTGAATTAAAAATTATCAAATACTTGCAGGAAATGAGGAACCGAGGAGTTCTTGAGAATAAATTGGTTCTTTTGAAGGGTGTCAGTGGATCGTTCAGGCCAGGTGTTCTCACTGCTCTAATGGGTGTCACTGGAGCAGGTAAAACAACTCTGATGGATGTACTTGCTGGTAGAAAATCTGGCGGATATGTTGGAGGGAACATCACAATATCTGGGTACCAGAAGAAGCAAGAAACATTCGCAAGAATTTCTGGATACTGTGAGCAAAATGACATTCACTCTCCTCATGTTACTGTATATGAATCCTTGCTTTATTCAGCTTGGCTCCGATTGTCCCCAGACATCAACGATCAAACTAGAAAGGTTGGTTTATAAGTTCTATGCCTTTTACTGTCTTTCATGCTTATTCATTTCGTTTAACAAAGGATACCAACTAGTTTCAACACTTGAGGTTGTCATAAAGTAACCATTTTAGTTTGCACTGCATCCTTTGTCCTATGTGACATTCAAAAAATCTAGTACTTACCTTTCCTGGATTGAGTTACAAACCCATACATAAGGGTTTGCAAGTAACTTTTCTCAGTAATTTCATAACCAACGTAACTAGAGTCAATTACCATTCATGATTCGAATTATTATTAAGTCATAATATAACAATGAAAACAAAATTGAGTGTTAAACAAAAAAAAATGAAATAAAATAAAATAAAATAAACTTCCATGTTGATCAATGTGACTAAGTTGGAAACTGATTAATGGTTGTAGATGTTCATAGAGGAAGTCATGGAACTTGTGGAATTGAAACCACTAAGGTATGCATTAGTCGGATTTCCAGGTGTTAATGGTCTCTCAATAGAGCAACGTAAAAGGTTGACAATCGCAGTTGAACTGGTGGCAAATCCTTCCATAATATTCATGGATGAGCCAACTTCTGGGCTGGATGCAAGAGCCGCTGCTATTGTCATGAGAACAGTTAGGAACACTGTAGACACTGGAAGAACTGTTGTTTGTACCATCCATCAGCCTAGCATAGACATATTTGAATCTTTTGATGAGGTGAAAAACAGACTCATTGCAGCAAATTTAGTTTTTCTCTCTTCCATTACCGTGTTTCTAACCTTTTTATCACAACAAAATGCAGCTTTTGCTATTGAAGCAAGGAGGGCAAGCGATATATGTGGGGCCACTTGGACGTCGTTCTTCCAATTTAATTAGTTACTTTGAGGTAAAAACATAAATGCTATGGAAAATAAGGATTACTGAATTCATGTTTTGCTTCAAATCATTATCTTCATGTAAAAATTTCACTCATGTCACACTTTAAATCTGAAGGGAATCCAAGGTGTCAGTAAGATTAGAGATGGCTATAATCCAGCAACATGGATGTTGGAAGTCACGAGTTCAGCAAAAGAACTTGAATTGGGGATTGATTTTGCTGAGGTGTACAAAAATTCAGAGTTATACAGGTATTTTCAGTTGTATAGTCTAATAAAACTACAGACTCGAAAGTAATCACAGATAGAAAGCACTTATGGTCTAAAAGTGAAATGAATTTCAGTTCAGAAATAGAATGGTTGCTGATATATGGTGTTTTGGCTTTTATCCCAGGAGAACCAAAGCACTTGTTAAAGAATTGAGTAGTCCATCTCCAGGTTCCAAAGACCTTTATTTTCCTGCACGGTACTCAACTTCCTTCTTCACCCAATGCATGGCTTGCTTATGGAAACAACATTGGTCTTACTGGCGCAATTCTCAATACACTGCCGTAAGAGTTCTATACTCAACTGCTATAGCTGTTTTGCTTGGAAGCATGTTTTGGAACCTTGGCTCCAAAATGTAAGATCAAACAAGAAACTTTGAAATGTCTTTAATTCCATTTGTTTTGTTGCTACTGTTTTATCTAACATGAAACTTCCTCCATCAATTATTGCAGTGAAAGACAACAAGATCTTTTCAATGCCATGGGTTCCATGTATACTGCTGTCCTCCTTCTTGGTGTTAAGAACTCTAATTCAGTGCAGCCAGTAGTTGCTGTTGAGCGGACAGTCTTTTATAGGGAAAGAGCAGCTGGAATGTATTCAGCTTTTCCATATGCTTTTTCTCAGGCAAGCAATTACACATTTTAAATACATGTCTTTTGTTTGGTTGTTGCTATATATATACATATGCATCCCTAAATCATAATCTTCCCAACACTTCATATATAGAAAGTAAATGAAAAATAAGTGATCTCAATCACTGATGAAAAAATCAACTACTAATATTATGTATACATGCATAATAAATCATGAATGTGTCGGAAATAAAATCATTAAGTTTTTCATCAACAACTAGGATTAGTTACTTTGACCTCTAAACTCTACGATGAGTAACTCACTTTAGAGAAGTCAAATCCAAAGGTAGATAATTTCCCTCTGCATTCCCTCTTTCTAATATATATTTTCTGTTGCAGGTTCTGATTGAGCTCCCATATATACTTGTGCAAGCAGTGGTCTATAGCATTATAGTTTATGCAATGATCGGTTTTGACTGGACTGTGGTTAAATTTTTCTGGTGCCTATTCTTCATGTACTTTACCTTCCTGTACTTCACCTACTATGGAATGATGGCAGTGGCAGTGTCCCCAAACCAACACATTTCCAGTATAATTTCTGCTGGATTCTATTCAGTGTGGAATATCTTCGCAGGATTCATAGTCCCACGGACAGTAAGTTTCATCATTCTTTCATATTTAGTGCACTTTATATTCATACTTTCTAAGCACAGAAGGTAGAAAATCCATGATATTCTTCCTTTTTGGCATGGTCTAACAGAGGATCCCAGTATGGTGGAGGTGGTACAGTTGGGCAAATCCAATTTCTTGGAGTTTGTATGGATTGGTAGCTTCACAATATGGAGATACAAAGCATAGCATTGAATCCAGTCTCGGTAGAACAACAGTGGAAGGCTTTGTGAGAAGTTACTTTGGATTCGAACATGATTTTCTGGGAGTGGTTGCAGTTGTTATAGTTGCATTTACAGTAGTTTTTGCATTGATCTTTGCCGTATCAGTGAAGGTGTTTAATTTCCAGAGGCGTTAAGAACCCATTCAAGCACGTTGTATAGAAAGTTGAAGCGTAATCTCGGTATTCTTTTATTTATCAATTCAATGTATCATAGTCCCATAATAGATTGTCTATATAATGTGGCATTTATCAATTGTTTCAATAGTTTCTTCAGAATTTGATTCAAAGAAAGGAAGAGGGAGTTCTTAATCTATTTTGTACGAACCAAATTATTATTATTGAAATCAAAATATTGTGAAATAGGGCAAGATAAGGAACATTACAGAAGTTTGAAAAGTCTCAGCTATGGTGAGAAAGGATACCAACTTGATTCAGCAATAAAGATGAAGACTTTTTTCATAAATAATACTATTTAAAAAATATTTTTCAAAATATACATCTGAAACATTATTTACCCAACTAGATCACTGTATCTGTTTATGGTACTCTCGCTCAAGCGAGAAATACATCGCTTGAGCGAGGAGACCTGAAACTTAAGGATTTTATGAGGTTTAGGTTCGTTCAAGCGATAAAATTCTCGCTCGAGCGAGAAGTTATGTCGCTCAAGCGAGAAATTCATCGTTTAAGCGATGAGACCTGAAACTAATGGGTAATTTTGGGTATTTTTTCGCTCAAGCGATGGGTAATTTTGCTCGAGCGAGAACTGATTGAAATATGTGGTGACCCAAGTTGCATTATGTGGCTAACTGCGTTAGACCTTTAGCCTGTAGTCAATTCTCATTGATGCGATGGGTAATTTCGCTCGAGCGAGAAGTGATTGGTTAACTTAACGCATGTGGTCAATTCTCGCTCAAGCGAGGAACCCATCGCTTGAGCGAAGAAATTTATAATCGATTATAATTTAAAACTAATCGATCATAATTTTAAAATAATCGAATATTTAAAATTATGATCGATTTGAGAAATCCATCACTTGGGCGAGGAGATATGAAACTAATGAGTAATGTTGGGTCAATTCTCGCTCAAGTGATGAGTAATTTTGCTCGAGCGATAAGTGATTGGCTAACTTAACGCCTGTGGTCAATTCTCGCTCAAGCGAGCAGTCCATCGCTTGAGCGAGGACATTTATAATCGATTATAATTTAAACTAATCGATCATAATTTTAAAATAATCGAATATTTAAAATTATGATCGATTATGTATCTCGCTCAAGCGAGAAATTCATCACTTGAGCAAGGAGACATGAAACTAATAGGTAATCTCGGGGTTTTTTCGCTCAAGTGATGGGTAATTTCGCTCAAGCGATAGCTGATTGAAATATGTGGTGACCCAAATTGTATTATGTAATTAACTGCATTGGAGTTTTAGTCTGTGGTCAACTATCGCGTAAGCAAGAAATCCATCACTTGAACGAGGAAACCTACAACTATTTATAATCAATTATAAGTTAAACTAACCGATTATAATTTTAAAATAATCGAATCTTATATCTTCACTAGTCAACTTAAGCCTTTTACAATAATTGTTTCATAAAACCTGCAAAGGCTTATCTAATTATTTTCGTATTCAAAAAATTATCCTTGATAATTTTAAGTTATACACTCCCTAGAATGCAAATTGCAACTTTGTCAGCATATCTTCGATTCAGCCATGAACAAGAATGAACAGCAAAAGGACTAAAGTGAAGGATATTAACAATTTATGCAACAAACTAGTATTCCTATTATGATTTGTTGTCAATATTGTTGAACATTCAAGGACTTGATGTTGCAAATAATGATCATGAAGAATGTTGATTTTGATGATGATCCAAGAGCTTAAAGACTTAGAGTATTGAAGATTGAAGATTGATGATTTCGTATTGT